TAGTGAGTAGATAAGACGATGTGCGTAGAGTATCATGAGTTGGTGCTATGGCCACTTTGCATTCTGCAAGAGTCATTCTAGTAAGTGGCGATTGTGTTGCAAGATGTCAAGAGGAGGTCTCTGTCTGGAGGCGCAGGTCGTCAGCGATGTGTGAGATTGTGCTGTGGGTATGCTTGTGGTGTGTTGGCTTTTCTGTCCGTGTGACCCAGGTTCTCGCAATGGCATCCAAGTCAACGTGCATTGATCGTGAAGGAAAAAAGGGTTGGATCCCTTTTTTGCCGGGGAGTGTCAATGGAGTTGAAGATTGAACGATCAATTCTTGGTTGTTTGCTCAAAATCAACTTCCCCGATTTTCGCGGAGGCATCAATACGACAGTCATCGTCTCATCGGTCGCTGTTCAGAAAGAAGAGTAAAATATCGTCAGAAGTAATATAACGATTTATTATTGTAATATTTGTTTACAGACCTTAGTTCGCTTATTCCTTTTATATGTTGGTGTAACAATAAACAAATCTCAAGCGGCAGATCAGTGTTTTGGTTTTTGCGTCCGTTATAACTAAGCGTTTCTGAAAACTTCAAGGAACAGCGTGTGCCCGAGCTTAGCGAGATCTAGGTATCAACGATTTATGAGATGTGATTGACATGCACTTACCCATTTCATTACACTTAATCGATTCATCTTAGCACTTTTACTTTTTAAAACAGCTTTTACTCCCTTGTCAACGTTGTACTTACCTCAATATTGGTTGGTTATCGTATGCTTACAACCACGGGATGAAAACGAAACGAAGTCGATTTTCCCGGTCAACCTGGGGGACAACTGTACAATTCAATAACTATACGGCCTGGTTCAGACAATGAGTGTGTATATATATCAAATATTTAGCTGTTGAAACATTATTAACTTGTAGACAATCTACGATTTGATATTATATCATACTTGATGGTGCCTGTAAAAATGGCATGCATTTTCATGTAAATTTATATGTCTACGTGAGAATATACATTATTATTTTTATTCTCCTGTCGCCAGCATAATAGTAAAAAATCCCATTCCTGAGGAATATTTTGAAACTAGATAAACTAGCGTTGTCAATGGAATTTCGAATATCCAATCCTGCAATCACTCGGTGCAACTGATGACAAACTTGACCATTGACAGCGGCGAAAATACTACGAGCAAACTTCTCCGACAGATCTCGTCGCTGATCAAATCCACTCGGCACCGAAGTCGTTATTACGTGATAGGTGATATCCACGTATATGTCACAAGGATCACTGGTGTTGCAAGATGTGAAAACACAAATCCGAGCTGTTTCACCTTGTTTCTGATGCCTCTAAATTTGTTACATATACATTCAATGGTTTCCGCCAACGTATAATTATTATGTTCCGCGGTGTATGGTGACTGTTTTAGTTCATATCTTCACTATTCTGGACGGCCACCTCTCTTGCAACCAACTTCGCTCCCGTCTTGTGAGCGAGTGATTGACTTCAGGTTCAAATTAATGTTGATCTGTAATCACGTTCGATTGATCTTTGGAATCACTCTCCTCCCTTGTTGTCGTAGAACTGTGGGAATACTGGCTCAGCATGAAATTGCTTTTAACCGTGTTTACTGCTCTAGTAATTTCGCATTGTGAATGGAATGCCACCTACTAATATTTATGTATACGCGTAACGAGAAAACTCTTTCTACAAAATTCAAAATGTTTCCTTATAACATATATGATAAGATATTTCAAAGTAACCGCATCATCCTACACATATGCGTATATACATATATTCTGAAACATACCACCCAAGATTTCAAAGCATGGAATTATTGCATATGAGTCCATTTATGGACTTGGAACCACTACGACTAGAGAAGGGAGAATATAACTCTCACGTATGCTCCAAGGTGTGTTTATTAGCCGTGACAGGATTAGGCCATAGCGATACGCAATCACACTACGAAGCCGCCACTGAGTTCTTGTCTCTTGAGAATTGTGCTGACCAGATTGTGTTTCAGTCCACATGGATAAACAAATTGACCGTTGACGGTGAAAGGTCTGAGACTCAACTGACTTCAAGAACTTCTTTGCCCTCCTATCGTATGGACCCATCTTTATTTATTCAGGCCCACTCCTCGGCGTTGAGGTAAACGTCCCTTGTTTTCGCGGGCAGCTGCATAATCCGTTAGAATGATTGACTGTTATTGCTTCGGTAGACGTCCAGTGGAGTAGTTGTACGCGACAGGATCTTGTGTGGACGACAGGACGTCGTGTGAGGAAACAGTTGAAACGGCGCGATCGGAGTTAAATATCTCAACAGTCATTTGTTCATCTGGCCGAAGAGTGAGATAATACTGACAGTAACCACAACTGTAATAGTAAATGGCAAATGTACAGTTAAAGAGACAAACAGTTAACCAGAAACGAATGTATAGATACGCCACGCAACGATTGGTGTTGTAATGGTAGACTAGAAGCGAGGTGGCCAATGAGAACAAAAATGAACTTCACACTATTCTTATAGGTCCTACAATACAAAGCCTCTACAAATATTAGGACGGCAAAATTTAGACAAGATAAGCCCTACAAACGCAGGAAGCATAACTGTCTAGTTGATGCATTGGAAGCTTTAAAGCTTTTGACGACCTGCGCCTAAATTTCGAAGGGAACAGCATTATATATTCTATGCTTTCAAACATCGTTACAGCTAATACCAAGTCTTAAGCATAACATTACCTGAAACATAGACTGTAGAATTCTTGGTGTAGCTCACACGGAATACAAGGTGTTCCATGATGGCCGACTAAGTATCTAAACACAAATAATGGCTTAATTCGAGGAAAACCTTGTCAAAAATCGTAGGCAGTGCTTTGCGGCTACCATTTCATTATAAAGTATGTATCTCGAGTTAGGTTTATTGACTGGCTCTCAACAACGCCATCCAAGATATTTGCACAGAATTTGCTATGTGCTAGTAGTCCGTTGCATCTTTCACAAAGCGAAGTCTGTATTGTAAGTACATTCTCCGCCGTACCTTCGACATCAGTGTTTGAATTCATACACTCACAACACATTTTTGGATTCACTGGGCTGAAACGTAACTTAACACGTAATTAAGCAGAAAATTCATTAAAGGCTAGTCAGATAAAGCCAAGAAACCCGAAATCCCAAGGTGTATACAAGAGGTCGAAAAGTATTGGATATTGGATTTTCAATTTTGTTTAGTCAAGCCATCGCACGCCGGACAACGGACAGTAGTTGAAAGTTGCGCTTACTATTGTAGTAGTTCGTGTCAGCATGTCAGAAAGGTGAGGTCGTCCATTAGTCTACCGGCTTTCAGATGTCTCTTGTGAGTGTGTTAGTCGACTTAGGGATTTTGACAGAATGATGTTTGCTTGGAGTTGTCATCCAATTGTTGTCCAACGGACAAGTATGTCGCGCAGTTGAGACAGTCACACTAATTAGAGATCCAGGTGATATTCAATGCTGATTGTGAATAAAATTGCATACTGCAATCTATATGACGGTCTTTTAAGCACTACTGAATTACTCGGTTGTGTTTTGTAGAGGGTTTTAAGGACATCCACGTGGACGTGGATCATCAGGCCTGGTGGTTGGAGAGACCGTGGTGAGTCAGGTGGGTCCTGTGGAAATGGGTGGGTGTGGATTGACCTGTATGATTTTTCGCCATTAACATTATCCACATAACTGCCATCCTCTACGTGCAAAGCTGAGAAGCGTAGAAGTATTTTAGCGCATACCTCACCAATGTCTTTCTAGTGTGGTTTCAGTTCCAGCTTGGAAGCAGTGTAACTGAGATATCCCAAAGACTGAACGCCTTTACCACAGAGTGGTGACTCGGAAAGTCATCTGAACTTCGGTGCATCAAGCTTGTTTGACGGAATTGAGTTGTCTAAACACACTGAGTAGTCGCGGTCCACTTGTGGTGTGTTTTGATGATGGTCGTGAACGTTAACTACATGTTGACTGGAGTTCCTGAGAATCTGTGTGGAACGAAGATTGATGAGGTGTGGCTAACATGGAGGATGAAGAGTGAGCGTGTTATCTGTGGTAGTATTGGTTCCTACTATCCCATGAACCATAGTTAGACATGCACACCGTAGTCAAGACCACCAGTTATTACGTTGGGGATATGCACTTCGCTTCAACTTTACTAGTCCGAAATCCCGTGTTTTCAAACCTGAGTCGTCGATGGTTGCAGTGGGATAATGATTGTATTACCTCTACCAGACAAAACAGCAAGTAAATATGTACGCCATCGATTGATTCATTTAACTTGTTTGTTCGACTCTCTTAATCCCCATCCCCACCCAATGACTATCGTTGGTGAATTGTAGGTCAGATTTGTCAGCTGCGATTCCACACATAAGATGAGAGTAGGGGAAGCTATTCGACACCTGGTTATCGTCAATTCGACCTCTGATTTGGCGTTGCAAGGTGTGGAGGTCATGAATTTTGTCCTGTTCATTTAGCCACGGTGGTTTGCAGTTGTTTCATGAATGATGAGTTGGCGAGCAGTAGTATTGTGTCTGTTGTGTTCGGATATGTATTATGTAGTCCGCTGTCATCTTCCAGATTTATTTATCAGTCGGCCTCCACAAATGACAGAGTAGCACTGCTCGTATTCGTGGAGTGCATAACGACTAATATGTTGTTTTTCACCCTTCAGGTCACGCGTTAACAATTCAGGACCGTTGAAGAAGCCTGCTGAAAGGGTTATCCAGCGTAAGTTTATGAGTGCTCACAATAACTCGTAATAGTTCGTCTGGTTCTGTGTGGAGTTCCAATGCACCTAGTGAACGGGGTGATATTCCGTCGTCTTCGGAAGGCGAAATTGTCTCGGAAGCTGCCCGCCAGAAAAAGAGCCATCCAGTCCAAAAGGCTGTGTGAGTACTATTCCTGTTGTTCCTTCAGATAACACGACATGTTTTGTCTTGATGCCTAACTAGCTTTCGTTTCTTTGTTTCAGGTATGACATATCTACGGGGATTTCAAAGTAAGTTGACGTCAAATAAACTAACAGTATTTGTCTTCATTGCTTCCTTCGGTAACGCTCCCGAATTGACTATTTTTTCAGACTGAACATACAGAAGACACTCAGAATACCGAATAGACCAGACCAAGGAGGTACACTCGGCAAGAAAGTCAAAGTCACTTCAAACTGTTGGGATTTGACATTTCATCACAAAACGGCATATCTCTATTTTGTGGAAGCCAACTCAGTTCATCGATTGGAAGCTAAGGAGGGCAGTAAAACTGAGATAAGAATGCCACCTAAAGAGTTGAGATCTTTAATTCAGCAGGTAGCTGACTCGTAAGTGCCATTGTGTTATTGATCAAATGGATTGTTTACATATGTAACGGAACTTTCTGTTCCTTAATTATTAAGCTGAATTGTTTCTCTGACTTTCGGTCAAGTATTGCTTGCTTGTCAACCAAAGATTCGTACACGTGTAGGATAACTTGTTCCATGTCCCACACCATTTATTATGTGACTTCGGTTACTATCAGCGTTGTTTAGAAAGAATTGGTGAAGTTGTTGGTTATGGCTTCTATTGAGAGCAATGGTATCTATTAATAAACCTCATGCTAAACAATTATGCTTATTTCACTCGCTTCTGCAGTTTACCAGATACGATCATATACGATGGCGGTCACGCCATATACTCTGAAGATCCGTTACCTGGTGTCACAACGGACCCCGTAGAAAGACAGATTGAGATCAAGGAGCCGTTTGGTCGGGACCGCCTTCTTCTGAAGTACCGGATTATGGAAGTGCAGAAGGTATCTAGTTCCGACATCAGCCATTTCATAACGAATCCGAAAGCGACCTCTATGAACATGCCTCAGGTAAGGCTGAATATGTTTCATATTTGTCTCTAGGAATGTATCAGATTGTTAGACTGCATCTTGAAGACGGTGTCAAAGCAGTCGTTTGTATCCCTTGGACGCTCAGCCCTATTTCAGCAAACACCAATTAAAGTGGTTATGGATAAGCTTTTTACTATTCATAAGGGTTTCATCAGTAGTGTGCGACCCCAGTGGAAAGTTCGTGTCAACTTGGATATGGTAAGTAGTGGTTCACCTTCTTTTTTACATATAATCACAGACGTGCAAGGCCTACTTTGTATCCGGGAATCTAGCGGACGTCATGTATTCGAAGTATGGAGACGATATGGTTAGATGTAGCACTCAAATGGCATACGACTTGAGAAAGATACGAGTTGAGACTGATAAATTCTACAAGAGCGATGATGGTATGCATGTTTTCTGTTATACCTCATACATTTTAGGACGTGCATATTCCCGACGCTTCACCGTGCACGGGATATCATCACTACCAGCCGATCGTTTGATGATTGAGGAGTTGAACCAGTCCGTGGCTGAATATTTCAAGCAGCACCATCATATCACTCTGAAGTATCCAGAACTGCCCTGTGTGAAGGTAAATTTTCATTTCAGTGATTATTTTTGTAGGTTGATCAAAAGCGTGAAGTGTATATGCCGATGGAACTGTTAAACATTTTGCCATATCAAGCTCCTAATGCGAGTAAAGCCGATATTGCGAGTGAAGTTATCCGTTGTGCAGCAATTCGACCACAGGAGCGCTTCAGAGAGCTGGAGAATTTTGCTAATAATATGCTGAAGTAAGAGTTTCAATTATGAGTTGTTACCACGGGTCAGTACTAAAGTGTAGTGTTGCTTATTGATCCAAGAGTTGAGGGTAAGCATGTTGAGATAGACGAGCTTTGATGATTGATTTCTTCGACATTCCATGAAGCTTATAGCTCAACACTCACTGTTGTAGCGCATTAAAAGGATGGTGAGAAAGTAGAATGAGCAGTAGGTTACAATGCCAACCCTGGATACATGTGGAGATTTCCGAATTATCACACTTAGCTTCTATAGATTCTTTGGTGATGTTAATGGAAGAGTCCTCTAGAATGGGCGGAGAAGTGCTCAAGATAGTGCTACTTTAAGTTGTAGTCGATGAGCTATGGATCTGTAGGTCCTTCTAACTACAAGCCAACTCAGTTTTCCCATGATTGGAAATTCTAGTCTTCATTGTATTCCTGTAAAGAGACAAGTTGAAGGTGACAACGGAAGCACACTACTAGACGAATGATTGGTTATAGTTGTATTTCATTGGTTGTTTACGCACAGTGATAAGCTTTCGATTTCTAGCAAAATTGATACTAGCTATTGGAATTGAAATACAATTACACTTGATTGATGTATTCCACAATGCGTAAACTTCTTACAGATATTATTAGATGAGCCCTTTGTGAACGTTTTGATGACAGAAATCTGCTGTCCGTTGTGTCAGCCGTAATTTTGAAATTTGAATAAATGTGAGGCAAACACCACAATCCTTCTCGATAAGTGCCGGAGATCCTTGACGTAACGCCTACCTACAGAGTTTATTGTTTGTTTTCCAAGCATGCAAGTAGATACGACATACACTGTTTTGTACATCGATTCGATAAGGACGCAGAATGTGGCGGTGTCTAGTTGGTTATAGTGGGTCACGAGTTGTATAATTGCACGGACCTGCGACTAGTCGAGCACGACAAAATTAGAGTAGTGTTTGTTGACTGTGTGACAGTGAAGAGGACTCAATTGTAGGGTAGGTATTCTTGAATGCAAGTCTGGAACCAACTGTGTAGGAAGGTGTGTAAACGACGTTAGCCTGGAGCCAGATTTTATGATTTACTCAATGCATTGTTTTGTAATTATGAGGGTTTCTTTTGACATGACATTTGTTCCATTTCCTCCAAGGTCCCACCCACTGATCAAACAATTTGGTTTGGCGATTCAACCGAGGCCAGTGGAAGTTAACGCACGCGTTATCCAACCGCCAACTGCTGGTTTTGGTCGTTCCGGTGTACAACAGCTGACGGCAGGTAGTTGGAGCACGCCTGGCTTTCTTCACCCTGCCGGCGAAGGAGTAGAAATAATGTGGGCTGTACTTAGCATTCCACCTAATCAGGTATGTTTTCTACTCCGGTTCAACATAAGATTAGTGCTGTAACAAAGTTGAGTTGTACAATCACTTGGGCACCGAATTGACATTGTAGACTTGGTCATTTGTCGATTGTATCAACATCGAAGGGTACCTCGCCTAGTTCCATGACAGCCCACCTACTTCATTGTTCACTGCATTACGTCGGTGGTAATATCATCATCTTTTATTTGTCAGTGTTTAATGCTCTGTATACAAAGAGGAGGTTTTGTCTGCCTTTTAATAAAGTGAAAGAAATGCTGTCAGATAGGTAGAGTAGCCTGAGAAGTGTGCACTTAATTCTGGTTTGTTGTCAAAAGGCATGTGTTATTGTTGAAAACAGTTAATCGCTTTTATAAATTTGGACAGTGTTTTTAGAAGACGGAGATTATCTGAAAAGTGAGATGTATTTGCGCGATACATTTGGGAGAATTATTATTGTCAAATGTAAACGCGAGAACTGACTGCTTCATCTCCTTGCCATGTTTTCTTCCTAGCGGTCTCATGGTCATGTTCAGAAGGTGATATCGGAATTGCCTAGAGCGGCCAGTCGCTTTGGTGTTCGGTTTAGCCCTCGACCGATTGTGGCACAGTGTCCGAGAGGAGAACTTAACAGGAGGTTCGAGGAGTTTTCCAGACAAGGCTGTGGCTTCTTACTTCTCATCTTGTACGATGAACATTTCTACTCATCGATTAAACGTCTGAGTGACCTACAAATGGGGATTCGGACTCAATGTGTACGAGCTCGTACTCTGGACAAACCGAACGTTTTCCGTAAGTAATGCGTGTTGTTCACATGTAGCCTTCAGTGTGTTTCTGTATTTCGATGAGTTTAATTCGGTTTTCTGCTTTCAGCGAACCTGTTACTCAAACTGAATGGGAAACTCGGCGGTGTGAACTGGCGAATTCCTGACCTAATTAAGGACAGTCAAGAGTTGGTTATGGTTTTTGGAGCCGATGTCACTCATCCTGCGCCTACACAAACTCATCAGATTCGAAAGTCAGTAGCTGCTGTTATCGGCAGTGTTTCACCCGATCTTATGAGATACGGGGTAGTTATCCGTCAGCAGGCAACCACAGAAAAGGGGAATAAGGCAGCGAGAGAAATAATCGATGATATGCGTCTCAGTGTCAAGGAGCTACTCCAGGTTAGTTTTCATCAATGACCAACTCTACTGACTCACGTTCCCCTTTTTCCCGTTGTACGCTTTCGTTCTTCCCTATTATTTGTGTTTTGTTGCAGCTTTACCTGCGTAACACGAACGGGCGTTTCCCGACGCGCATGATATTCTATCGCGATGGAGTTTCGGAGGGCCAGTTCGAAAATGTGCTGGTGGAGGAGCTGTGTGCAATTCAACGGGCTTGTGCAGATGTTCGTCCTGGCGAAGAGCCTGCTATCACTTATATTGTTGTGCAAAAGCGTCACCATATTCGATTTAGACCATCTGACCCCAGGTAAGGTATTTGCTCATGATGTTTCCTGTGTACGTACTACACTTTATTCGTGTCTTAACGGTCTGTTTGAATGCTTTGTTAGGGCAAGAAACGTGGAGCCGGGACGGTGGTTGATACAGATATCACGCATCCCAGGGAATTTGATTTCTACCTCTGCTCTCAGGAAGGGATTCAGGTAAATTGTTTCTTTGTGCTAATGCCATTACTTTTAGGGTACATCGAAACCTGCTCACTATCACGTGTTGTATGATGATAGTAACTGGACATCGAATGCTCTTCAGATGTTCACCTATCACTTATGCTACGCGTACATGAGGTGTTCCCGTAGCGTCTCGTATCCAGCGCCGACTTATTATTCTCATTTGGCTGCATTTCGGGCACGTGAGTGGTTATCGGACATAGAGAAACCAGAGATTCTGTTAGATGCTGGTCGTTTCAGAGTTCACAGCAGTCAAGTTGACGGCATGTTCTACTTATAAACAGATTTTGTTATTTTCATATAAATTGTATTTCCTTTTGAATCCATCTTCCCTTTTAATAATAATAATAATAATAGTATGATGATAATTATTTACTTCATCCGAAAAGCAGTACTTGTGATAGAGAATGGGATTTTCAGCATTAATCACAATATTTCATCAAATTATAAATGAAATTAATCACAAGAAAAATTTCCCAAAACATGCAGCATATAAAATGGAAATAATAATAATGATAACAGCTAAGGTAATAGTAATAATAATACAAGTGAAAACTTCCGTTGGCCTCTTTCAAACAGTATTGTCGATGAGGTATGGTAATCCTAGAATGTTTGAAAATATTGAATACAGTGTTCTCTTTACATGATATGGTGAGGGGGGAAAACAAAGATCACAGCAGTCATAGACAAAAGTTGGTGTTTGCAATTATTAAAGTAAAACAAAGAAGCAACAGAACCATAAATATAATAGGAATAATAAAAGTAAAACTTGAAGGTATATAAGGATGGATGGAGGAAATTGTTTATTTACTAGATGAAAGAAGGTTAGTTAACTGTAGTTTGTTAGGGTGATGATAAGGCATCGACGTAATACTCTTAAGAAACCTTGAACACTTCACAGTTGGATGGTTGGTTCGGACATGTTTTCTGGGAATAGGTGGCTGACTGACTGCGTTATAGGTGTTCTGACCTCTATGTCGCTGCTGTTTTGACGAGGAATCGGTTGATGAGGCAGTGTCAACATCTGGCATTGATAAGTCCATTAACGTGCGTGTTGTGAGTAAGAGTAAAGAAGGTGTAATTTCGAAGCTAGTTGTCCGTACTCTTGAGCAGGGATTTCGGAGATGCATGTCTTCTGTGGCAATGTGAATTCCAATAATTTATTTGGCCAAGATGGTGGTTAATCTGAATAGTTCGAGCGTTTCTCGGTGGATATCACAGCTGTTAAGGTCGATTGATCACTATTTGCGTAGTGAATGATTACCTCAAATGCTGTTTTATTTTACTTAGATAAGAACACAGTATTTATGTAATGGGTACCGAGTGTTAATTGCGACATCGTGATTGATTACAATTCCCAGTTGTACGGGATGATGACGTGCTGAGGCACTCATTCGTATGATCTTAGACCCCACGTAAGAAATCGTAGGCTATCGACAGACGCCAAACCAGCACAACTATGCTTCATGGCAGACGTTGGAATGAGACAAACCAGTGTACTGTACTTTGAAGAGCCTGAAACTCCGAAGTGATGCAGCCATTGGCCTTCGATGGTTTTGCAAATGGTATGCGCCGCAATTTGGGAAACTAACTTATGCGAAATGGACGGTCATGAGTTACTTCAGTGTATATCAGTTTGCATTTCCCATTTGAGGTATTTCGCGTCAATTATCCAGGGGGTGTTTTCCACGTAATTTCTATATTTTGTAGAGTACTACGACACTTTTGAGGCTTCAGGTATAGTTTAGTGTGACTAATAGCTGAGTCATCCCGATTTCCGAATAATTGGTGATTAAACCTTCCTTAGTATATCAGCGCTATGAGGGAGTTCCACAATGAGGTGATAACTATAGTTGGGGTTCTGAATTGAGGGCATTTTCTATGCCCGCACTATTGTTGTTTAACTAGTAGTAGTTGCATGTGAGAGGGTGTTCTGTTGCTGCTCGCTTTCCACTCAGTCCAATCATCCTGCAACGCCAGCGTCGACCGACCAACCTTGATTACGCCACATAACACAACACACGAGTAATATTAGAATGTCAATCTCACCCGTTACAAGATATTGAGTCAAACATGTATGTCATCAATCACAATGGAGAGGATTTAAGAACTATCTGGTTGCAGTGACGAAAATCACCTTAACTACTCTGTGTAACATGAGTTTATATGATATGACAAGAAGTGTTATGATATGGTTGTCTGGATGAAGTTTTTGGCACAACATATGGTCCATAGTATAGAGTTGACAATGAGCAGTAAATTGTGCTCTGAACGTTATCCGGTCAATTACACTACATCACATAAATTCACGTAATACTGCACCACATTACGTGCCCAATGTCTCCTACTGCGATCAGAAGTTCTCTATGAATCCTTAGGTAAAAGCAGCATGAAAGCACTGGAGATCTAGGCATGTGTGCACGATTGACATATAATCTAGTGGGACGGATTGGCTGATATAAACTGCGTGCCATACAATTGGATGAACTAGCGAAATACATTGATATTTGACTTGTTAGTGTTGACAAAGTGAATAGTACTAGACAACCTACCGTAATAGGCGGGTCCAGTTAACAGACATGCATAGAAGTTCCTACAGAAATCACATCTTCAATTCTAGCCTTAGACACTCTTAAATTCAGCTTATTATCAACTGAATGTGATACGAGCAATATGAGTAGTGGCTAGCAGTGGACGCGTGTTTCATCCCATTTGAGATTCGTCAACTGAGTGTACCTACATGTACATCCTGGTGATGGTGTTCACAATGAGACTCGACTAGGTAACCATTGTTTGACACAACCGAACGTTGTTCAGTAGACTATTGGTCGATGGCAGTCATTTTAGTGCAGTGAGCGTGAATTGTTATTTCTCAAAAGTTGTGACTTGATGCTACTTGTTAGGTTATAATAAGCACGACTACAGTAATCACCATCGTAAGTCAAATGGTACATGAAGAAGCCAACTGGTCAGCTTGTCAATCATATCACTTCCTTCACATATCATTTTATTGTCTTGCCATTCACAACTGGCCGTCGTCCTATAAAAATGAGCCGGTAGCTGTTACTTTGTCCCCACTAATATCCACATCTACGATAGAGTTTATTATATATTGTATTTTCTGATATTTGCTCTCGGTGTTTAACATCCTTGGTGCTTTTTGCATAACATGGGATTGTTGTGATTAAAGAATCCGGGAGTGAGTCGACTGTTAAAACATTCATGTGTATGATAACATATACAGATATAATACCAAATTGATGGTTTACAATCACAGGGTGACAATGAATACACAGTAGTGTATGTCCATAATTAGTGTTTAACATGTATTTCACTTAGTCTGGTGATAAATTCCATAACATCGGGGGACGGAGTGAAGAGTCCTTTGTGTGTGTGTGTGTGTGTATGTATGTTAGTGTGGGAGTGTTAATGTTTGTTCCCACTGGAATGGTAGTCGTGAGATAATGTTGATCATAGTTGTAGGCTCTTGTAGTGTGAGAAGGTCAGTACACAATGATCATTATCATAAAGACAGCCACTAATTATCCAATGATAATCTTTGCTTTCTGAAATTCGTACCAACTGACTTATATATGCTATTTATTAGCAGAGAAAATGAACTGACTTTCAAAAGTAATTTTAATTCACGTTGAGCTCCTCTAGACATCTGTATGGAAGGCGATTTCGTTTTCTGAGGTGTCATCCTATTCTACTTCATTCGCCAACGCTTCCTGAAAGTGTCTGTTTTCTTTCCTACCATTGTTGATTCGTCTGCCCAACGAACTGTAGGTTGTACCCAGCTCATTCTCCCGTTGTTCGTCACTGCACTGGTTTATCTTCTACTTCCCCATCCTTCTGCCCTCTATCAGCCGCATAGCTTCTGCAGAGAGCCTTTTCGTGTCTTATCTCTTCTCACCTTAAGTGTCTATACAGGTTTCTCCGCACGTCGTTTTTAGAAGGTCCCAGTGTACTCCCAGGCAGATTACACCGGTGATTTTGGTTATTGTCTCCGACATTTTCCTGTTGTCTGCTGTGAAGGTGTCCTTTGTAGCCCGACCTTCAGTTTCTGAGCGTTCAACTTGAATTGTGGTCCATCTCCAGATTATTTGGTGGTTTTCAAATGGACCATGGAGGTTTGTTGCACTAGATTATGGTCTGAACCTACGTCTTCTTCTCATCTCGAGTAGCGCTGTATGGTTGTAACCTACGTTCATTTTGAGTTTAATCTCTCTGACAGTATTCTGGAGGAGAATGGTTCCCATCACATAAAAGTCTTCAGTGTGCTGTTGGCGAAATGATGATAGCGACTTACTCAGTGTGTTGGTGGTTGTCGTTTAGGTGAACGGAGTAGATTATCGAGTCTCCAGTTAACAGTCAGGGGAGTCCACTTCCATCCTACCTGCTCTCACAGATTCCAAGTACTTCAATATCATATTCATAGCAGTTGAAAGTGTACAAGCCTAGAGAGTGAAGGTGACAACGTGTATATGATCCTCAGAAAGGCTCTCACTGAAGCCTCAAAGAGAATCCGTTTGAACCAAGGCATTCTTGTAAAGAGTTTGGATAAACGGCTTGGTCGTATTATTAGATAGAGTTAACTACGTCGATAAGATGAACAGCATCGTAAAGGACAATGTAAAATTGCGAAAATTCCACATCGACAAAGAAGACAGCAAATAGAAAGGGAGTTTACGGATATGCTGAAGACTAGTTTCCAACCTTGTAATCTCACCCCGAATTTTCGAATTTCTTCAGCTTGTAGAAAGAAATATGCCTAGAATGAGTGAGCTACCTAAATTTCACAAGCCAGACTTGTCAATACGTTCACATGTGAGCATGTACATGTGATACATGTGTAACTCACCGTATCACAGAGTGGGAAGATGATTGTCTCATATACTTAGACAACAATATATATATATATATATATATATTAGCTTATATTTGAAACGAGATACAGCTAGTGAATTACTGGCATCGAAACTAAGAGAAATAACAGCCTAAACATTCTTCGCCGCAACACTGTGTTTAAAATCACCCCTTGCAACCTTTGATAATTCCAATCCAGGTGGAGGATGAGCCACCGAATACTTCGACTTCATTGTGCCTCTATAAACTTAACTATGCCTGTGAAGACAGTTGTAAAGGTCGAATAAGTCGACAAACATACCGTCACCCTTTGAGCATTGTCAAGCATGGTTAGTGTTATGTACTAGTTTTCCCCGTCGCCAAATTGTTATGTACTCGTCGCTAAATTATTGTTATGGACTGGTCGAGAAACTAATAGTCCTGACGCGAGAAGGCGGAAATCAGAAGACCACTAGGTTTGCGATGATACTTCTATTGTCCAAACACAAGGAGACGAAAA